TCTACTTCCTTTTCACAGAGACATACAAACCGCAAAATTGCTGATCATTATGCATGATATGATCATAGTTAAGTTTGCCGTTTCGCAGCAACATGATCGAAATAAGCTGAAAGAGGAACAAAGTTCACTGACGAGTTAAGCTTCCTTTAAATCAGCTGTTTAATTGCTGTTCATAGCATTTTGGTCACGGTCCACTTCCTTTTCTCGAGAAAGATATAGCTTGCAAACTTCCCTTTCAGCGCTTTGTTTATTTGCAGATCAACACGTGTCATATGATCATAATTGAGTTTTTGCCTCATTGAAGCAAAAGTACGCAACAATGTTTTTGCATAAGAAAAATTATACATGACTCATAACTTACTTAGAAATACAAAGATGGTCGTTTGCATGTTCATAGCTGCGAAAACATGTACTAGAAATGAAATTTTCTTCATGATCGACTTCAGCTTCCTTTAATTTAGCTGTTTAATTGTTGGTCACAACATTTTGGTCATTTTTGCAGACTTCCGGATCCGTTTCAGCGCTTTATTTACATGTTCATGAACGTGCATTACAGTTTGCTGATTCAAAGCAAAAGTTGGCAGAAAATGTTTTGTAGACACTTAGCGAGTATTGGCAAAAGAAAATAATCTATGGGAGGTTTCATAACTTGCTTAGGTAGACAAAGAAACTTGTCAAAAAGAATGCTTATATTATTGAAGGCAAAACTATTTCAACCTCAAGAGGGAACAAATGAAGAACAATGAAGAATATCTAAAAGATTTTTAAGGCATTGTCGTCGTTCAGCAGGTAGTCACTTGAGCTTCCTATTCCAGTCTTCTCACTTGTTCTATGTAGCTATCATTTTCTATGTTCAAATTGAGGTGCTTAGACAAAAAAATAACAGCCTTCAACGTGAACTTGGCGTGGAAAAAGCCCTACTTGAATAAGCAACAGCCTCTTAATTCCTCGTGAGTTCTAAGATTTTGAAAATATTTTGGTCGTTGCACCAAAACAAACTCACCGCACATTTTGTGAATAAATTTTTTAGACAAAAACCCACACAGCCGGTACGTTTCTTAGATAATTGTGTATCATTGCTTGATCAAATTTTCCGTTAATATCCCTTTCGTGACTGGTCAGGCGTCCTACTTAAGTCTTGTGCATGATAAATTCACTTCAGAAATGCAACCACTCGAAACACTGCCGAATTTTGGCATTCTGATTTTAAGCTAAAAAATGAGGGAAATTCCTTAACCTGTTCTGGAATCTGTTACATCGTTTACATGTTTCCCAGCTGTAAAAACAAGAGAGAAAAACAAAGTCGGTCCACCTAAGCTGGTTGTAATGGAAGGTTCCAGCATTTTTGGTCATGGTCCACTTCTTTTCATGGAAAAATAGTAAACGCAAAAGTTCCCTTTCAGCGCTTTGTCTCCATGCTAATCAACATGCATTACATGATCATAACATTGAGTTCGCTGTTTGGAAACAAAAGTACGCAGGAATGCGTTTGGTAGACGCACATCGAGGGTTAGCAAAAGAAAAAGGAATATATGACGTCTCGTAACTTATTTAGAAATACAAAAAGGGTCGTTTACGTGGCCTAGCTGCGAAAACATGAAAGAGAAACAAAGTTCACTGATTGACTTGAGCTTTCTTACATTAGCCGTTTGATTGCTAAACTGATTAAAGCTAAAATTAGCTGTTTAATTGCTGTTCATAGCATTGTGGTTCCGGTCCACTCCCTTTGCTGGAAAAAATATAAAGTCGTAAGATGCCATTG